CGCGCTCCGGCTCGGCGGCCTCGGCGGGGTCCGGCTCGCGCCGCGGCCGCGGCTGCTGCCGGGGGGCGCGGCGGGCGCAGCAGAGCGGCGGGCGGCGGCGGCGGCGCGAGCGGCTCCCTCCAGTCCCCGCGCGGGCGGCGGCGGCAGCGTCGTCGAGCGGTGCAGACAAAGGAGGGGCGGAGGGAGGAGACGGAGGGTGTGGGAGAGGCGGCTTCACCGGCGCGGGCAGGCGGGCGGCGACGGCCGCGCTCCTCTCACTCCTCAGCAGCGGGGACCGAGAGAGGGAGCTGTGTCTGAGGAGACGCCAAAATCCCCCTTAGCGCTGCCCGCGGGAGGGGGAGGGGGCACAAGATGGCGGCGGCCGGGGGGGCGGGAGTTCAGTTCATGGATCCCGGCGGGCGGCGGAGGGGAGACCGGGCCGGCGGAGGCGGCGGCAGCAACGGGCGGGGGAGGGGGGGCTGATCCCGCGTCTCCCCTCAGCAGACAATACAAGCGCCTCGGAGCGAGTCCCCGAACCTGCCCTAGCCAAAATGGCGGCCGAGAAAGAGCGGAAGTGACGTAAGTATCTCATTAGCATAAGAGGACTCATTGTCCAGCTAACTAAGGGGGGCAGTGGGGGACAGTACCCTTCCCCCCCCATAGACAACTCTTACTCCCACCTGTGTTTGCTCCTAACTTTTTCTGAGGGAGGGTGGCATCAGCACCCCCACCCCCACCTAAGAGACATTATATAATCCCCACTCAGGGGGAGCTCTCGCGAGAACCAAGAGGATTTGCCATTGACCCACTAGGAGGCGCCGCGGATAATGGCCGCAGTGCGCCTCCCTGGCCCGTGTGCACGGCGGGCGCCTTCCTCTGGCCACAGCGCCGGCGGCGGAGGCACAAGCAGAGGGCCGCAGCACGCGCTGCACTCAGTCAGGTGGCCGCGCTGGGGATCCTTGCGCGGGCCCAGCTGGGCCTGGACTACATCTGGTGGGAGGGGGCGTGCGCGCAGCCCCGCGGCTCCACGTGCTGGGAAGCCCGCGCTCTCGGGCTGGGCAGCAGCCGGAAGGGCAGACACACCTGGCCGGTCATGCCCGACACCTCCTGCTTTAAATGAGGTGTGAGGGCCTCGTGCTTCACACACCCACTTGAGATGAGACCCAACCCCATGGATGCTTGACCCCTTGCGGGTGAGGTGCGCTATTCAGTGGACAGGCCTGCGTTTTACAGAAGGCCGGCTGTTGCCCTGGGACTGGACATTCTTCCGAATCAGTGATGGACTCTTCTCTTTGGCCTGAAGAAAACAAGTGGGATCCCTAGCGTTTGAGGCCACTGGGCTGGTGAAGCCCAAGGATGTGAAATGATGTTGCCAGTGGGCCTCCACAAGATCCTTAAAAACCAGACTGTAGTCCCAAGCCTTTTAGTGCCCCCACAATTTGCACAGCATAGGACACAACGTGGGCCTTTGTAAATTTAGGTCAACCCCAACCAACACATTGTGTTCTCAACATTCTTGAATCCACCTTTTATAGTTGAGTGCATATGAGTGTCTATCACTGGCTAGACATACTTAAAAGTAATAAATGTCAATTGTGAAGGATTAACCAAACCTGTTAAGATGTGTTCTGTACATCTTACACTTATCTTTTGCTGTTTCTCTAAATTTCATGTTAAAATAGTTTCAAACCATACGTAACATCCACAAAGAATCTGACTTTACTGAAAACAGAACAAATTGTGGTTACATATAGCTCAATGTCTAAGGCTTCAGTTAGCAGGTTTAACAAGCTGTTTCATCCAACACAGTATTCCGTTAATTTCTGAAATTGTGATAAACTATATCTTTAAAAGCCAAATCAGTATTTCAAGGGAAAACAGCTGAAAAAAGTTGTAAAAAGGAGGAGGGGACCCAAAACATTCAATTTAGAGAAAGATGAAGAAGCTAATTCCATGTTGCAGAAGACAGGCAAGAACTAATATGAAATAAGCAAAATAATTTTAAATTTAGTTTTCCTTAGATATACTTAGATTTCATACAGAGATAATACCAATACAAAGGGAGAACATCTGGATTTCATCCTTGGCCCCATTTACAAAGTAAAAAGGGATGCTGGATTCACATGTAAATGTTTAAAAAGATTTTACAGTGTTTAAGTCACCAGATTTACTACAAAAATCTATCTAAATAGTCCAGATTCTTTTCTAAATAACTTCCAAATGGTGAAAGTTTTCACTGCTCAAATAATTTACTGTAAATAATGATAGTGTTGTAATGATTGTGGGAATAAGAACCAAAAGACTAAACAAAGGCAAAAGGTACCTACCCTACTGAGGTCTGAGAAGACAGTATTTTATAGTGGGCTCTCTGAGGTGGTTATTTAATCTCTGCTCCACAGAGTTGACAATGAAAATTTAACTTTGGGCTCAGACGAGAAAGAATCTAAACACTCAAAAAAAATTATTTTACATCAGTGGTAATAAATTTTCTAGTTGTTAGTAGTGATGAGAGAAGTCACTTCCCCAAGGAAGAGGGGTCCATGGTGGGCCAGCTGTTCAGCTCTGCATAAAAGGGAAACAGAACAGTAGAGGCCCTTATTGGAATGTGTCCTATGGATTCAACTATGGGAATCGGTAATGTTCAGAACGACACCAAAGGTTTTATACTCTGGTATTCATTTCTGGTAGGATCTGTTAGAAATGCAAATGGAAAAATCAGACTTGAAGTTTCTTCAGCAGCCAAATTAAGCCAGGAAAATGCAGTAGTAGGAATACTGTTCACTGAATCTGCTTATTAAATGACTTAGAGACGCCCCTTCCTTTTACTTGCTAAGGAAAGTCAATTTGATCTTAAGCTTATTTGCTCAAAGTATGCCTTACTCAAAATTTTAAAAGACACTGCGTGATCTAAAAGCTATGCTATACTTGGAAATTAATCTTTTTTGCAATACCCACTTAAGGTGGGTAAATAGAATATTTCTGAGGGCTTTACTGAACATTTCAACTGGCAGAACAGTTTTCTCAACAGAAGAGCTACAGGGGATTTAGTCACGTTACTAAAGATGTATGCTTTGTTAAGGGTCCTGAAATAACATGAAAAATATTTTGAGGAAAAAAACATAGTTGTTTAAAAATTACTACAGCTGGGAATTCCCTGGTGGTCCGGTGGTTAGGACTCGGCGCTTTTACTGCCGGGGGCCCCGGTTCAACCCTAGTTGGGGAACTAGGATCCCACAAGCTGCACAGCACAGCCAAAAAAAAACCCAAAAAGGTGGGGGGGGCCAGAGGTGTGTATTTCTTTTTTAGTTCATATAGAAACAGCCATGTATCATATGTGTATTTCATGAATATAATTAGCACTCCTCTTACTTCTGACATGTATTAGGTATGAATCCAGAGCTATGAATACAGTTTTTGTTTGTTTGGTTGGTTTTTTTTGCGGTATGCGGGCCTCTCACTGTTGTGGCCTCTCCCGTTGCGGAGCACAGGCTCCGGACACGCAGGCTCAGCAGCCATGGCTCACGGGCCTAGCCGCTCCGCGGCACGTGGGATCTTCCCGGACCAGGGCACGAACCCGTGTCCCCTAGCATCGACAGGCGGACTCTCAACCACTGCGCCACCAGGGAAGCCCCTGAATACAGTTTTTATAAAGAATATTTCAAAATCTTCCCCATGTAAGAAATCCTGCATTTGCATACGCTAATGAAAGCATTTTTATGCAAAAATTTCATATACATTTATTTATAGGTCTTAGTACAGCAAAATGTAAACGAAAATTGAGAACGCTGCTCATTTTTCTAATTTGACATATAAAATGGAGTTTCTCAGGAAAAAAGATTTGCATGAAATTTACCTTACCTTATGATTTATGTTCTAAGAGTACATTTTATAAAAATCAGCAACCAGGCTTCTTTTATGTTTAAATTGAACATGATTAAGTATAAATGAATAACCTTCTTTTATGTAGTAGCAAAGAGGGTCAATAGTCCTTTCAAGAAAGAGACTATTTCATTTCCTCCCAACTTGGATTCACCATAAACACGATCCACAAATGATATTGGAACCTAGTTAAAAAAATATATGTTAAGTGAGTCTTCAAAAATATTAGAAAGGAAGCATAGCAGGCATACAACAATTACTCATACAACAGAAACAAGATTAGTCCGCTGATAGCAAGTCCTTCAAGGTAAATCCGAATTATGGGATTCTTACAGCAACTGTGTGCACCTCCAAGTCTTCAAAATTAAACATGCATTTTACTATCTAAAAATAGGTCATCCAGCCAAAGCTACAAGTGTTTTGAAAAGCATTGATCCTGAATATTAAGTTGGTTTACTCAAGCTTCCAAGAAAAATTATATGCCCGAAGTAAAATGGCCTTTCACCTAATTTTTTTCAGTAGTCCATCAAATTTAGCTGTCACTGTTTTAGCACTAAGTTAACAATCTTATAACTTCCACAACAGTAGTAACATTCTAGTTAGCTATTTTCTTGCTCTGAATAAGAATATTATTGTTAAACAAGGAGAGTGTTCCCTAAGAACTTACTAGCCGGCTGGAAATATTACAAATCCCCTCTGCTCCCCCAATTCTTGCCCTTTTCATTTACTCATAGGCAACGGGCAAAAGGGATTCACCACTCATTTTTAAGTAGGGTGGCTGATGGCTGAGACAAGGGGAAAAGCAGCAGACTCATCCCATAATGCTGAGTGGTCAGAAGAAAGGGAAAGGAGAAAGAAGATACCGGTAACTTTTATTTATTTAAAAGGGAATGCTGCCTTCTGTTATGCTTTAAATCTTGGTAAGTCAAATATATTAATTTTAAAGAAATGTGAATTTTCACCCTTTTGCATGGACACCTGGAAGCCTTCCACATTTTTTTAGTAGTTTATGAAAATTAACCTTTTTATGATAAAGAGTATAACCCTATTGTTTCTTTATGAGGAGTATAACACTATTTACCATACCTCGCCAACAGTATAATTCAGCTGTCTCGCCCGAACAATCATCTCCATCTGGAAGACGTAGCCTTTAGAAACACATTTTTCTATTAATTTCTGTAAAACTTCTTTTCTGTATAACCTGTAAGAAATTAAAATGTATATGAACACCTGGATAAATATACATGCCTACATGTATCCTGACCTTACAAAAAGTTCACTGGTATTTATAAAACCTTAAACTTTCACCAGCCATTTGTATATAGAAAAGTTCTCACAGTTGATGATTATGATACATTTGTCCTGAACTGGAAAGGCCATAAAAATATTTGGTAAATAATTTGGGACGATTTTGAAAATGAATTCTTAGTATCTTTTAGAGAATTATCTTCCTATCACACTATCAGAAATTATAAAAATATGGTGATAAAGTGAATCATGTGGAGCAGAACCCCCCCATCGTTTGTAGTTTTTATTTTCTTAATTTATTTGTAAAGCTGAAAGGGGAGAAACGGTTTCAAATACTGGAACAACAGAGTTGACAGATGATGAAGCAACAATATAAACTAGGTAACAAGAAATAAGTAGTTAACAGACATTTCCTCATAAATGTCTATGAAGTTCCTATTTCCTGAGATCTAAATAAATTCCTGAGATAAACTAAGTCCCTCTAGGATGAGCTTGGTTAAGCTAGTTTAAGACAGGAAGTAGGGATCACAGGATGAGGCAATCCTGGTGGGAATCAGATATCAGCAACTGAGGTCACAGTTAGACACTTAAACTGGGCGAATGCACACCCTAACTTTAGATGGACTGCAGGCCAAAGGCAGAGCTCATCAGATTTACAAAGAAAGACAGGAGCTGGGAAGTCCTATGGGTGAACTCAGTCACGTTCTTCAGGAGCTCCCTATTTTCAGAGTCACTGAGGTTAAAAAACAAAAAAACCCCTGAGCCTCAGTGAGTAGAAAGGCAGCAATTTCTACCTCTTTCTTCTTGCTGTTTCTGTTTCTGAGAAAGCTAGGTGAGGCAGTAACTTCGTTCTTTTGGTAGTTAAAGCCACCTGGATCTATAATGCCAGAGGGCTTTATACCTGGAACTCACATATTTTCTCAGGCTTCCTTTCAGGTTACCCCACCTTTTGGTTTTTCAAGCTTTTAGGTGGCTATCAGGCTAAAGCACAGTACTTAGAGGAACCTGAGGGGGATTAGTGGTATGCACTCCTTTACCCACACAGTCTCCATCAGAACTCAAAAGAGTAAGTCTGGAATAAATGTGAAGAAAGGAGATTCTGATGGTAGTAATATTCATTCAATAACAAATGTTTATTGAGGAACCTACTGTGTTTCAGGCACCTTTTCATGTTTTGGGATTTTAGCAGTAGAAACTAAAGATATATGTCAAATGATGTTAAGTAGGGGAGGGAGGTCTGGGATTATGGGAAGAACTGTGATGGTGGGATAATGGAATAACGTTTCAGCAGTACCTTTAAAACTAGGATTAGGCTACGAATTCTTTCCCTGTAAGAGTCACTTTATTCCCGTAAGAGTCACTTTGTAAGATTTATTTCTCTTCATTGCCACCCCTGCCTCCTCCACCACAATATCTTTTTTTAATTACAATCTTTTTTTTTCCTCTGGAAATCAGAGATCTTTATAACACATTATTCATTTGCCTCGAAGTGTAGAACTGAAGAGATGTATTTATGGGGTCCCTATCTATCTTTTATACACCAAATTGTGCTTTCAAAATAATTTACATTTTAATTCTAGAGAGGTTTCATTTTCATTATCTGACCTCTAATTTGCGATGGCTCCTCTCTTCACTTTTGACTCTGTCTTACTATCTCTGAACTGCTATCCAACAGACTTGCAGCTGCACTAGTGGTACTAGTTAACCTTCAACAACCAGCTCCTAAATTTGTGTGTTTGTGTGTTCTAATGAAGTATGGAAGAATCAACATTATTTAATGGATAGAAGCAAATGCCAAGTAATAGAAAGTATTAACCAATGCATGGGTCTCAGCCTTAAAGCAGATGAACAGAAATTTTATAGTTTCAGAGATAATACACACACCCCCAGAAACAAACAAAAATAAAAAACCCCCAAGGACCTAGCAGGAGGCTTCGCTCCATTTAAACAAGAATTTTTTTTTAATAAAAAACATGGAGAATAAGGAAACTGAAAAAGCTCTATATAAATATTAAAGATTTTAAACTTTTCTGTGGACAATGCTATAAGCTGCAGAAAATTACTGGAAGAGGCACTGTTTTTGAAGCCCATCTCAGTAATATCCTGAATGAGCAGTCCATGGTCACCTCAGGCCCCTCAAGGGCTGAGCAGCGATACTACTGTTAACAAGCACACGAACCTGTCATCCATACTCTTTAAAAAGTACAATATTTTCCCTTAAGATGCTTACGCCTTTATTAGCAGCTTCTAACCAACTTCAGTCTGTCTTTTTTAGCGTTCCAGAACAAAAATGGGATAGAAACGAAAAGTATTTCTTTAAGTCATTATAAAGCAAGAAATTTAGGCAAGAAATTGTAAATAGTAGAATACACACAATCACAGGTTTTCACTGTACCTGAAACTTCCTGTTAAATCAGACGCTCCTGGTCTCAGCAAGATCTGAGTTATAAAATTGGCCCCACGGCTGCCAAATAAAAGATTTTCTTTATAAAGTACAATTTCTAAACAAAAGAAATACACCCAAGTGTAGAGTGCTAAAAATGCTACACTGACTTCATAAATGCAACACTATTTCACAAAAATGTTAATTCTATGGAACAAACAGAAATCAGTGAAAGGAGATCTGTTAGTTCTCATTTTTCAGAAAATAGGGATTTTTATTCTTGGAATGTGACATGTAGAGGCGACCATAAAACACTCATTCTTCCAAACTCTAGGTGAGAATGGTAATAGATTTTTTAACTCAACTCGCATATTTGCCAACAGTCATGATTTAGAATTACAAACATCTGTCAAGACAGCAAAAGTGATCTATCAGGGATCTGGAGTTTCTTTTTCAGATTCAGATCACCAAGTGATGGCAGTTTCCAACTGGGTAATAGGTCAGTTTGCATTAAAATGGCTTTTTAAAAAATTTTTTTAAAAAGGTGTGCAGGTGGGAGAAGGTTTTGGTTTTTGGCAATCTCTGGAAATTGACCAAAAGTTCCATTCTGAGACTTTCTTAGTCTGCTTGGGCTTCTATAACAAAATACCGTAGACTGGGTGGCTTAAACAACAGATATTCAATTCTCACAGTTCTGGAGGCTGAAAAGTGCAAGATCAAGGTGCTGTAGACTTGGTTCCTGGTGAGGATCCTGTTCCTAGCCTACACATGGTACCTTCTTGCTGTGTGCTCAAGTGGAGGGGGGCAGAGGGGCTGAGGGTGGGGGTAGGAGGAGAAAGGCCAAGCTTTCTTGGTTTCTTCTTGAAAGGGCACTAATCCCACCAAAAGTGCCCCACACTCAGGACCTCATCTAAACCTAATTACCTCCTCAAAACCCCACTTCCAAATACCAACATTCCCTGCATAAGGTACTTTAACACATGAATTCTAGCAGAAACATTCAGTCCATAACAATGACTTTAGGATCTGTGCTTCAAACACAACTAGGTATCAATCAACTATAATCTATTACTGACTAATAGCTATTATTAACATTTCAAAAAGATGTGAAGTACACTTGGAAAAAATGACTTTGGTACTGCAGCTATATTTTAGTGGGCTCAAATTATTTTAGAGTGTTCAGATTCAGAAAAAAGGTGTTTTTTTTTTTTTTGGCGGGGGTGTGGAGGGCAGCAGGGGAAGCAGCCTGGAGAAAACAGTTTCTCTGCAAAGCCAGGGTAACCATCAAGGGAATCCTTAGGAGTGTTTCTTTCTTTCTTCCTTCCTTCTCCTTCCCCCCTTCCTTCCTTCTTCTCCTTCCCCTCCCTCCCTTCCTCCCCCGACCCCCTCGTGCCCCACAGCACGTGGGATCTTAGTTCCCAGACCAGGGATTAAACCCAAGCCCCCTGCATTGGAAGTGCGGAGTCTTGACCACTAGACTGCCAGGGAAGTCCCAGGAGTGTCTATTTCATATAAATAACATGGTTAGGGATATAGTTGGCATAATGGCTAACAGAAACATTTTCCTTCAAATAGCTACAAAAAAATTCCAGGACATGGTTTACCCACCAAAATGGGTGTAATCAAAGGAATGTGAGTGTATATGTATTTATGTGTATGTGTGCGTGTCTGTATGTATATATTTGTACATCTATTTAAGATAATGCATTTTAAAATTGGGGTCTTTTAATTAAAATGCAGCAAGAGTCAGACAGACTTGGGTTCAATTCTGGTTCTGGACCATACAAATGAGACCTTGAGCAAGTGATACAGACTCTTTCTCAGGAGTTTATACTATAAAGTCAGTGCAGACATTAACAACTAATGACAGATACAACTCAATACAACTAAATGATCCAACTAAACGTTGTAAATTGTCTCTGACTGGGACTCCCTGATTTTAAATAGTAGCTTTAATGAACAATTCAGAGAGGCCTGAGAGATCACTGATTTGTTGCTCTCAACCTTGGCTGCACAACAGAATCATCTGGGAGCCTGTGAAAAATACTGATGCTCTTGCACCACCTCTGGAGATCCACTCAAATGGTCTGCAGTATGTGTGTGCACAAGAAAGGGAGGACAAACAGGGAGCAGTTGTGTATAATTTTCCCCCTACATGACTTCAGTGCTCAGGAGGATTGAAAACCACTGAGTCATCCGACCCCTTCATTTCACTGAAGACTGAGGCTCTTACATGTTTGAAATACTTGCCCAAGGTTTAACAGTTAAGAGGCAAAAGTGACATTAACCTAACAGAACCTTCAATAGGAATGAAGTGGGTGATAAAAAATACTATAAGAATTTATATAAAGTTATGTTGTTACACAAAAAGCAATAAGCTATATAGATCCTTTAGAGATAGAAACACATCTTCCCAACAACCTAGGTGCCATAGATTAAATATGGTCAAAAATTCTTTGTGGGTCTTCCCATCAAGAGGTGGATTCTATTTCCCCACCCCTTGATTATGGGCTTGCTTTGACCAAAAATTAATTTGGTGTTAGCCCCAGAGCTTAGGACTCAAGAGTCCTTGCAGCTGCAGCCTTGGTACTTTTGGGTGCTGCCCTTAGGATGCCATGTAAAGAAGCTGATCTAGCTTCCCAGGTAAGCGGCCACATGCAGGAGAACTGAGATGGCCCAGCCAACAACCAGTACCAACTGCCAAGCATATGAATAAGGCCATCTTGGAGCCTCCAGCTGAAGGAAACTGCATGAGTGAGCCCAGGTGAAGTCAGCAGAGGAACCAGTAGCCAAACCACGGAATTGTGAGAAACAATAAATTGTTGCTGTAAGTCACTCAGTTTTGGGATGGTTTGTTACACTGTAATAGAAAACTGAAAGTTTGTTTTATTTCCATCTTATCATGAGGAAAGTAAGCCTAGAAAAGGTAAAATATGCAAGGGGACACAAGTAATTAAAAGACACAATCAGGACTTTAACCCAGGTCTGCCTCCAAAGCCTCACTACTTTATGCTGCTTAGTAAAAGCTGAAATCATGAAGTGTCTTAAATTATTGAAAAATATATATGGAAAAAATTACATATTTAGTCCAAAAATATAGATGAATAGTTCACTTAAATCAAAGCTGAAGGTCCAGCAGAACAAACTGTGCTGAATTAGACCATTTCTACGAAAGGTTCAAAGGTTTATGCAAATTTTTCCCAAGTGAAAACCATCCAAAATACAATACTCTAACACAGGAAAAACTGTGGGTAAGAAGCTATCTGGGAATACTTTCTGGAAGTTACAATCTGATCCCACAAACTCCAAGGCAGCATGGTAATTTAATCCAAATACCTGTTAAAAACGTATTTCTAGTAGTTACACTAAAAACAAAATAGAGAAATCATGAGCACATACATATATACCTGATTATTTTCCTTTTCAAATCCCAGCCATATACACCTCCATTTCCTTTGTAGCGAGTTCCAGAGACAATGTCAAAATTACCCTCCTTTTGCTTCCTGCAGAAAAAAATAAATTAGCTGGCAATTAGAAAAAGCTGTTGAGCTTTCAACAGAATTGCTAAAGCAAAGCTTATGAGTATTTTTAATTCTAACAGATATCACCAGAAATTACTTTCCAAAAAGGCTGTAGTAACTCATACTTCCTCCAGCAATATCCATGTTCATCTTCTATCATCTTATTGGTGCTGGATGTATTGTTCTATATGTCTTTAATTTTGAAAAACTAATAGTAACACACGGTTATTTTAATTGCATTTCCCTGACTACATCCCAGGGTGAATATCTTCTCTTAGGTTTATTAGCCATTTGGACTTCTTCTACACATGGCCTGCTTGTATCTTTCACCCATTTTCTACTCCACTGGTTCTACTGCCTTATCAGGTCAAAGGAGCTTTTGTGTATTGGTGATCTAAGCAGAGAAGGTATTTCTGAGGTGACTTTTATGCAGAGATCAAACAAGGAGGAGTTGGCCATTAAGGAGCAGTGAAAGAGCACTTCAGGCAAGGGGGAGGGGCATAAGATGAGTTCAGAATGCAAGGCAGGGGCCACATCACGAGTGGTTTGAGGGGCAAGTAAAGGAGTGTGGATTTCCCCCCATGTGCTCACAGGACTCCTGGCAGTGTTCTGAACAGGTGAGCGGCCTGATCTGACTGTTTTTGTGTATTTAGCTTACATTCAGAACAGCTTCCAAATTCTTACTCTGAGAGGTGTCATGGTCTCTTGGGTTTTCTAAAAATATAGTTACATTACCTGCAAATAAATGTAATTTTGTATCCTTTACCAATATATACTAAACTCTTATGTTACAACATTACTTAAAATCTCCATGTTTAATGATAGGTGGTACGCCTATAATCATTGATGAGTTTATTGGAAATGACTCAACATTTTACCATTTAATAAGACCTTTGTGGGGAAATTCCTTGGTGGTCCAGTGCTTAGGACTCTGCTGAGGGCCTGGACTAAAACCCTGGTCGGGAAACTAAGATCCTGCAAGCCACGCAGTGTGGCCAAAAAAAACCAAAAACAAAAACAAAAAGTAAGACCTTTGTGTTAGGACCAGGTTGTCTTCAGTATGTTTTCCTTCAGTATGGTTTCCTTCTATTTCTACATTAAAATTTTAATTAGCAATGGCTAGTGAATTTTACCAAATACGCTTTACCATCTATAGACTTAATCACGCTTCTTTTCTTTTCTTTTTAAAAAATATTTATTTATTTATTTGGCTGTGCCAGGTCCTAGTTGCAGCACACAGGCTCCTTAGTTGCGGCCAGCAGGCTCCTTAGTTGTGGCATGCAAACGCTAAGTTGCAGCATGCATGTGGGATCTAGTTCCCTGACCAGGGATCCAACCTGGGCCCCCTGTATTGGGAGTGTGGGGTCTTAGCCACTGGACCACCAGGGAAGTCCCCAGTCATGCTGCTTTCTTTGTTAATGTGATAAATGAATTTTTTTGACCGATTCCTGATTTTGGCATTCCTGGAATAAACCCCAGGTATTCATAGTGTTCTACTCTTACGATGCAGGGCTTAATTCCATTTAACAGGGAAGCTGCTTTTCATATTTTTCTGTAGTCTGTAAGAATTAGGTAACAAAGGAATTATCTGTTGATTACTCCTCTCAGGGCTCCTAAAAGATATCATTTAGTCACAGAACTAAATATTTACATGTCTCAAAGCTATACCTTGGTTTCATTTTTGATAGCAAACTTAAAATAGCATGAGTATTTTTAATGAATGAAAAATGAAAATAAGTACAAAATCAATATAAGGTAAATGATTTGAATAATTCTTTCAAATATTAGAAATACCTACCTAATGAATTCAGGAATAAATTTTGGCTGAAATTTAGAAAGAATAAAGAGTAGGTCAGTAAAACAGGCTAAGACTATCATAAATAGCCTCTAAAGAAATATAGCACTCACATGGTGTGAGAGATCAGCATCCATGATGACTACGTAGTTTCCTGTGGCATGTTTCACCCCATGAATATACGCAGTTCCTAAAAATGAAAATATTTATATCCATTAAAGGAAATCACCAGAAATGCTCAGGTATATATCTGAACAGGGAAGAAATTGCTAAGCACCTCTGAAAAGCATACATTAGTCCTCTAACATCCTATTTGTTATTCTCCATCAAAAACATCTCTCGGGCTTCCCTGGTGGCGCAGTGGTTGAGAATCTGCCTGCTAATGCAGGGGACACGGGTTCGAGCCCTGGTCTGGGAAGATCCCACATGCCGCGGAGCAACTAAGCCCGTGAGCCACAACTACTGAGACTGTGTGTCTGGAGCCTGTGCTCCGCAACAAGAGAGGCCGCGATAGTGAAAGGCCCGCGCACCGCGATGAAGAGTGGCCCCCGCTTGCCACAACTAGAGAAAGCCCTCGCACAGAAATGAAGACCCAACACAACCAAAAATAAATAAATAAATAAATAAATAAAAGGGCCAAGCATTTGAAGCCCTTAAAAAAAACAAAATTCTCAATTTCATTCTTTCGTCTCCGATTTCACTTTAGTCCCAGGCACCATCTTCTGATGCGTGGATCCCTACCTAACCAGTCTCTCTGCTTCTGCTCAGCCTATCACCCCTGTCCCACAAAAGCTACGCAGTGAGTGTATTCTACACTGGAAGCCTGGTACACTAGAGCCCTGTATCTGGGGCCAAAGGTGCAACTAGCAATTACTTAGCCACCCTCATGCTTAAATATTCCTCGGGGACTTGGCAGGTAAGGGTGACTGGTCAGGAACAGGATGTGGGAATTCCTGCATTCTCTAGCCCCAAATCACTACAGTATCTTATTAGAAAGGCAGAACTCTTCTGACTTCTTTTGTTAAGAAGTGATTATCCAGGGACTTCCCTGGTGGCACAGTGGTTAAGACTCCACGCTCCCAACACATGGGGCCCAGGTACGATTCCTGGTCAGGGAACTAGATACCACACGCATGCCGCAACGAAGGAGCCTGCAAACCGCAACTAAGGAGCTGGTGAGCCACAACTAAGGAGCCCACCTGCTGCAACTAAGAGCCAACCAGATTAATTAATTAATTAATTTTTAAAAAACATGACTACCCACAGCTTTTTGGATTTCCACTGACGGGTTAGTAATTCTTGGTGGCTTTCATGGCAGTTTCAAAATTATTTCAATCCCAAAGAACCTTCTGGATTCAGATATTCAGAACATTTGATCATGCCATGAAACTGAGGGTCTTCAGGACAGCAGATACTCAATTTTCAAGAACTGTGCTTCCTCCATGCTCCCCCAATTTTTCAGTAAAATTATACCACTTTTCAACATAAAGCAGCTGTGACCAACAATAGAAATAAAGGCATTCAAGATTTTCATCTTAGAATGACTGACCTCATCTGAGCTTTTCTATAACCCCTTACATTTTAAAGCTGGAAAAGCTTCCTTTTAAAAAAATAAACACCTTTTAAAAACTTGTAACTTCAAGAACTGTTCAAAAGACTTACAGCTAAGGCAGTGTGCTGGTCTAAATGTTTGCCCTTAGATCCCTTCTCTGTTCTTTGCAGGGTACTATATTTGTTTTCTTGTCAACTGGTTTCCAAGCAGCTTTGGGAGGCACAGGAAGAAGGAAGATCTCAAGGAGAAGGGGAAAAGTCCAACTGTCCTCCCCTTTACTCTGCCTCCCAGCATGGACCAGATTCCATCCATGGCTCCCACTTCTGCCAAGCATCCCTGACTCCACCATTCTAGCTCCTCTGGGCAGCCCGGGTTCCCCGCTCTAAAAACACCATCTCCTCCATTGTTGCTCCAGCCCAGGAGCGGTAGTGAGCTCCAGCTGCTACTAATCTCTGAGTAGCCCCACTGTTCCATTTGGCTTCTCAGCAATTCCTTCACCTGTGTAACCAGATTCTCTGTATTAAATTCCCTATATTGAAAGAATTACAGTGGTTTCTGTTTTCCTAAGTGGGCTTTGCCTCATACAGGCAATTCAAGTTAAACCATCTGAATATCATTAAGATCATTAAAAACCATCACAGGAGGTGACTGTATTTTGGCCCTGTTCCAAACTGGGGAAATACACACTGGATAATCTTACCAAGGCAAGGAGCAGGCATGAGGGGTGAGAGGTTCTACTTACCTAGTCCCAACTTTTGCTCCCGTGGTCTTAGAAGCTGTAAGAATAAGAAATGGCATTTTAACACAAATAATCGAAAATCTGACTAATAAAAACTCTTTTTTAATAAGTGCTCACTCATTTTAACAGAAATACAGCTGCATTTATTAGACCTTAAAGCAGAATATGCTTAACATTTTTTGCCAAAGTAAAAAAAGCATTTAGTAACAAATCAAATAATTTAATAGCTTTCAAGGAAAAGTAACATTCTTTCACCCAAACCCCACAGACCAAATCTTAAACTCCGCCCCCTGCCGCACCCCAGAGCTATCCACCAAAAAAACATTTTTTTATGTCTATTACTTGATTTATCATTTTAAGCAATATCTATTGATTCCTTCCTAGGAAAACTGAGTATTTAACTCACTTATTCTATACCTTTTTGGAATATTTGATAGCCATGCTTGTTTTCTCAATTCCCTTTGTGATTTTAAATGTTGATACTCCATCCACTTATCTTGACTCTGTGCTTGGATGACCTCATCTTATTCTCTATTGGTCCAATGACATGATTTCAGGTTATATTCCTAAGATTAAATTCTTTCTCTTTACAGTTTGTCAATTAGTCTTTCTACACTTCTTGCTTCATATATAAACACTGACTTAGTTGTTATTTCCTTTTCTCTCTAAATTTCTGGAAAAGTAGAATGCCAAGGTTTTAGTGCTAAGTTTCTGAGGTAGGGGGCTCAAGTAGACTAACTACTGAGCATTTCTTATCCTCCTCCCTCCCCCGCCCCCCGGCACTTGCCAGTGGGTAAGCAGGTTGCCTCAGACTGCAATCTCCAAAGTATTTCCAGTTTAATTTAAACAGGATAGATTTTCTCTTTTTTTAAAAAACTACACGCAAGCTGCTATAGGTCTAGGGGAGGAACAAAGATGATAAAATACATTCCTACCCCATGAGTGTTTATATAGAGGAGAACTAGACATTCAATCAATCATCTATAATAATTACTATTCACTGAACAAAATCAAACCAGACATGTCAGGTTTTACTTGATTTTGTGCTTGACTGTTACTGACAAAATACTGACCTCATCTGGTATTTGCCCTGAAAAAGCAAATCCTTTAAAGTTCATCTTAGATTTTCTATAACCGTGTGTTTTAGCTAAAAATCTTTTTTTCAAACAAAGGATAATTTTGTTATTTATAATTTTCAGAACGTTCAAAAGTTTATATAAAATACAAACCACGTTACATAGATAGGGTACCATGGAGCAGTTAAAAGAATGAGGTAGGGTGTGGAGAAAAGGGAACACTCTTGCACTGCTGGTGGGAATGTGAATTGGTTCAGCCACTATGAGAACAGTATGGAGGTTCCTTAAAAAACTACAAATAGAACTACCATATGACCCAGCAATCCCACTACTGGGCATATACCCTGAGAAAACCAAAATTCAAAAAGAGTCATGTACCAAAATGTTCATTGCAGCTCTATTTACAATAGCCCGGAGATGGAAACAACCTAAGTGCCCGTCATCGGATGAATGGATAAAGAAGATGTGGCACATATATACAATGGAATATTACTCGGCCATAAAAAGAAACGAAATTGAGCTATTTGTAATGAGGTGGATAGACCTAGAGTCTGTCATACAGAGTGAAGTAAGTCAGAAAGAAAAAGACAAATACCGTATGCTAACACATATATATGGAATTTAAGAAAAAAATGTCATGAAGAACCTAGGGGTAAAGCAGGAATAAAGACGCAGACCTCTTAGAGAACGGACTTGAGGTTATGGGGAGGGGGAAGGGTGAGCTGTGACAGGGCGAGAGAGAGTCATGGGCATATACACACTAACAAACGCAGTAAGGTAGATAGCTAGTGGGAAGCAGCCGCATGGCACAGGGATATTGGCTTGGTGCTTTGTGACAGCCTGGAGGGGTGGGATGGGGAGGGTGGGAGGGAGGGAGACGCAACAGGGAAGACATATGGGAACATATGTTTATGTATGACTGATTCACTTTGTTATAAAGCAGAAACTAACACACCATTGTAAAGCAATTATACCCCAATAAAGATGTTAAAAAAAAAAAAAAAAAAAAGAATGAGGTAATCTGGTGACAAAAGATGACCAAGGTATAATTAAAGAGTAACAGAGGGCTTCCCTGGTGGCGCAGTGGTTGAGAGTCCGCCTGCCGATGCAGGTGACGCGGGTTCGTGCCCCGGTCCGGGAAGATCCCACATGCCGCGGAGCAGCTAGGCCCGTGAGCCATGGCCGCTGAGCCTGAGCGTCCAGAGCCTGTGCTCCGCAACGGGAGAGGCCACAACAGTGAGAGGCCCGCGTACCGCAAAAAAAAAACAAAAACAAAAGAGTAACAGAATGATACAGGAAGACTGCATTTCTGTTCAAAAACAAAAACACACATATAAAACCACATTACCTGATTCTATAGATGTAGACACACACACATGTGCACAAAAAGATCTGGGGTAACATATACCAAAATGTGGACCGGGGTCTCCCCTGGAGAAGGGACTGGGATGCAGATCAAGAAATGCTCATCAGAGGCCAATTCAGTTTTACTGGTAATATTTACATTTGACAAGAATATACTTGTTGGGCTTCCCTGGTGGCACAGTGGTTGAGGGTCCGCCTGCCGATGTGGGGGACGCGGGTTTGTGCCCCAGTCCGGGAGGATCCCACATGCCACGGAGCGGCTGGGCCCGTGAGCCATGGCCGCTGAGCCTGTGCGTCCAGAGCCTGTGCTCCGCAACGGGAGAGGCCACAACAGTGAGAGGCCCACGTACCACAAAAAAAAAAAAAAAAAAAAAAAAAAGAATATACTTGTTTACTTCTTATGTAATAAAAAGTTCAAATTGTTTCATCTCCTGTGCTTTACTTTCAGACTGCTAATTCCACCCCTCTCCTTTTTTTCCCTCCTCACATCAGTATGATTGCTTTTTCTTACACGAGGCAGGATGGCTTAGTAGATGACTATGGAACCCCCCCTGCTAATTTGCTGTGTGACCCCGGGGCAGTAATGGGCACACAGAGCTCACCTCACTCAGCCGTCATCAGAAGAAGCTGTGAATTCACAGGAAGTGTGTGTAAGGGTACAGGGCACATACCCTGAAGAATGCTTACCACAACTGCTTAGAAAATACCATACAACACTATGATTTGTTTGACAAAAAAACTTACTTTGTAAAAATCTTTATCGTAGAAAATCTTGGTGACACTTCAGAAAACGATATCAATTTCCACTAGGATCAACACCATTTGAGTGGATCTGTTTTACTGTACTCTCGAAAACGGGTTGGGAGAAAGAATAAAAATAAATCTGCAGCTAAGAAAAGGCTAATCATACTCTATTTTGCAATTCTTATCAGTGAGGCTCATATTTTTTTCACTTTTGACCATCTGTAGTTCCTTTTTTTTTTTTGCATCGGCAGGCGGACTCTCAACCACTGCACCACCAGGGAAGCCCTGTAGTTCTTGTTTTTATGAACATTTATTTCTGTACATTTGATTAGGATACTGATGTCTTTGTCAGAGAAAATATGTTGGTATTTGGGGATGAACCAAATATTTTTAAGTAGTCAAATCTCTCAATCCTATAGTTATGCTTGACATTTAGAAAGTAATGAATGTGTGTTACACTTCATTATCAAAACAATTTTTAAGAATACTAAACTATAAATAATGACAAAATATAGATGAGTCTATCTGATCTCAAGTTGGGGGATGAAACAAGCCATGTACATCAAACATAATAGAAGCCCTCCAAATCTCATATCTCCCTGTCCTGTGATCACTGTTAACAGTTCAGAATATGTGCCTCCAATTCTTCTATGGTCCCACTCCTGCCATTTATTAATTACCTATGTACCCTTGGAAAGTCACTTAACCTCTAGTCTGTTTCCTCACCTCAAGAGTTAAATTTTTTTTTCCTTAGCTTTTTTTCTAAAATATTCATTTCAGCCAGTTTGAAAGGCTAACAAAGCATCTGTGAATATTTTATCTGAGGTATTGTAAGGTGGTTCCTAATTTTTCCCCCAACTAAATATATATATGTCACCTAAAAAGCAAGCAAGTGCCCTCCCTGGCATAGCTTGTCATTGGCGCGTGCGCACGTGCACACACGTAATATTCTAGTTTAAATGACCTAAAAGTGATAAAATAATGAATGAATAGGGAATTTCCCTGGTACCACACGGAAATCATGATAGTAAATGCTATTTTTTCCTCATTATTTTAAATTTTGTTGGATTGATGGGAAAAGTGGAACCCTTTGAAGACCATGTTGTTTTAGAATTTGAGATCAATTCATCAGGCATTCCTTAAGATCAATCAATCACACCTCAAGGCTGAGGTTCTTTGACAAAAGTATTCAAAACACTGTTAGGTTGATGTTCCCAGATTAAATGGAAGTGCATAATGAAAGTATTCTATACATTATGTGAATCAGTAGCCCTGGCCCAGAACTTAATAAAAACTGAGGAACTGTTGGCCAAAAATATGAACCTAGCATTATCGGAAGTCACTGCTAGAAGGATGAAAATCTCAGTTTTTATCTCCTCTGTACACTTGTACATCTGGAGACATTCAGAGAGGACTGAGGTGTGCTAGTTCTGTGAATTGCTCGTCTGTGAGATGGAAAGAACCTCTAGTACAGGATAGATTTACCGTGTATGTAAGAGTAACACATTTCTTTAAATGCTTCTCACCAACTAAGATCTCCTCCAACTGCATAGAAATTATTTCAGTATTGGGACTAATCAAGAATATCTGGACCCAGAGCCTATTCTTTTTTTTTTTAATTTTATTTACGTATGTATGTATGTATGTATTTATGGCTATGTTGGGTCTTCGTTTCTGTGCGAGGGCTTTCTCTAGTTGCAGCAAGTGGGGGCCACTCTTCATCGCAGTGCATGGGCCTCTCACTATCGCGGCCTCTCTTGTTGCGGAGCACAGGCTCCAGACGAGCAGTCTCAGTAATTGTGGCTCATGGGCCTAGTTGCTCCGCGGCATGTGGGATCTTCCCAGAGGAGGGCTCGAACCTGTGTCCCCTGCATTGGCAGGCAGATTCTCAACCACTGCGCCACCAGGGAAGCCCAAGCCTATTCTTTATGATGCTTAATTGCCATTTCTTGAAATGCAAATATCAATAAAGGTTCTCCAAGAGACTTCTTCGTTCCTTTTTATGGCTGAGTAATATTCCATTGTATATATATGTACCACATCTTCTTTATCCATTCCTCTGTTGATTGACATTTAGGTTGCTTCCAGGTCCTGGCTATTCCAAGAGACTTCTTTATTCCTATACCAATCGTTCTCTGTTGGGAAGAGGGACAATTCTGCCCACAAAGGGAGGGACACTCGATGTTATCCAGAGGTATTTTTGGTTGCCACACTGAGGAGGGGGGCTGCTGCTGCATCTCGTGGGTAGAGTCCAGGGATGATCCTAACATCCTACAACATACACGACAGTCCCTCACAGCAAAGACCTATCAGGTCCCAAGGTCAGTAGTGCTGAGATTGAGAAATTCTGGTCTATACAAATTACAAAATACCGAAAGCCTAGAATGTGTTTTCTAATTAAACCTGGATTTAATGTATGCTTTTGGCCCAAGAATTAGCTGAAGTGATCTCACAAGTATGCTCCAACGTTTATAAAGCCAAAATACTGATCAAAAATAAAAATTACAAAGCTATTACAAAATGAACTCTACATCTGCCTAAGTTACTCCTGTAGAAGAACAACAGGCTTTAAGGCACAGTGGGAATATCTAAAGTTTAAGACTCAGAAAGTCAATCCAAATACTTCCACAAGACTGTTCTACAGATAAAAATAAAAATGCCAAGTTCCCTGAAAAATCATGTTTCACATGAAAACAATCAGTCACCTTTCCCAGCTACAAGCTAGCTGTAGGCAGGATTCTCTACTGACAGTATGAGAATACCTAGAGAAAGGGAGTGCTAAAGAACAAGACACATTACTAACTGCAACCTAGCTCTACCAATATTCCTTCTCATTTCAGTATCATGCTTTAATTCTGCCCTTCAAGGAAACTGATCTGCAGAGTCAGACATAAAAACAGAGTTCATCCAAAGGCTCACTATCTTGCTGTAAACCTACCACTGACTCAACATATCAAAGACATGTAAAATCTCAAGCACAATGAAAATGCATCTAAACCCCAAGTGTGTAAGTTGCTCTTTAACTTTTTCAGTTTCTAGACAGACTGAATTTAAGCACTGTTCATCCATCATCTTTCCCCAATATAAACATAACTGATATGATAGAAAAATGACTTACAATTTTGTCTGACCCATAGATCTTCTCCAACTGTTCAGCAACATCCCTTGTTCCATCTGGGCTTCCATCATCTATGATTATAATTTCATAGTTGAAGCCACTAAAATAAAAAAAATTAAATTTTTTTAAATTTAAACTACTGCTTGGAGACAGTAGTCTCAAATGAAAAAATGATTTTAAAATCACTAATTCCTCCCCAGTATAAGCGGAAATTTATTGCCATGTTAAGCACCAAGGAAAACTTTAATTATCAAATGACATAAATGTCAAATATTTACTATGTCACCTCCCAACTACGTACGTTGCTGGAAAATGCTATACAGTCCTGATATGTTAAAATTCTCACAGAAAACATACTCCTTCGTTAAAAAGATTATAGTGATCATATATTATATACGATAGGATATCATATAAAATTTTATACCTACTTGGGAAATGGAATTGTGGAACTTTAATATCAAGTCTTAGTTACATAAAATATTTCAAAAATATATTTAAAGATATCAAGTCAGCTGAGTAGCTCTGGGTGATTATTCTTTTTAATTTAATCCATGAATAGATAAATCTAATTTAATTTCACCCTTAAAATATCCACTTGAGAATGGTGACAGTCTTTTACATCACTATTTCAAACAGTTATACCCATTATCCCACACTATCAAAACAAACAAACAAAAAAACCCAACACCCCCCAAAAACCAAAAGAGCATAGAATGACAAAAGATGTCAGTGCTTCAAAATTAACATCTTTTCGTTGTTCCCATTAACTTCATGTGACAGTTTTTATTCTAAAAACAAGCCAGCACAATACTTGGATGTACCTGTGATCACCATGATATCTCTCCCCACCTCCCTTTAAAGAAAACATTCTTTTTGTTAACTTTATTGGGAAACTTAAGGGGAAAGAAAAGGAGATACAGACAAACCCCCGAAACCCAACATTCTGCTTCCTCTGGTCCTGCTTGAAGAAACAAATGCGAGGAAATCAACCAGAAAACACATTCTATTGTTAAAAGCTTTAAAAAGTCGGCCCCAGCAAACTTGGAAGAAAGCAAAACACATCCTAACTTCTAAGAGTACATAAGATGACTTCAGTTTCCAACAGTGCATTAAATTTGGCTCGTAAAGCCAAAAAAAGTTAAGATGCTGGACTTCTCTGGTGGTCCACTGGTTAGGACTTTGCCTTCCAGTGCAGGGGGTGCAGGTTCCATTCCTGGTCAGGGAGCTAGGATCCCACATGCCTCGTGGCCAAAAAAACCAAAACATGAAACAGAAGCAATATTGTAACACATTCAATAAACACTTAAAAAAAAAGTTAAAATGTTAATTCTAGTTGTTGTTCTGAAAGAGATATACTTCATAAACAAATGGAGTCATTCATAAGCAAAATTACTGCCCTCTCCACTTCAAAGCACCCACACCACCTGAGGGTGAGGTAGTTAAAGGAAACAAGCTGAGCACACTGTAGATTACCTGACTGCCATCTGAAAAGAAAATAGATGTTTCCGTCAATAAACTTCATTTTGATTAAAAAAAATCCACCCAGAAACTACTGAAAGATAAACTGCACTACATAAAAAAATTAAAGAATAGAGCAAAAAATATTGTATAATCAGAAGACAAGCTTCAACAAGATCAGCTACATGACAATTTCTCTCATCTGGAAAGAGCTTGAGAAATCAAAATATAACTTAAAGAAAAAAGGGTTAAAAGCTACGGATAAAAAAACTTTGAAAAGCCGTGAATGTGAGGATAGTTATTTCATTCAAAGAATTATAATCAAAACAGCAGTATCTTTCACCAATTAACATTTCCAACAATGTAGGTTTAATAAAACTGGCTGGTTGGTGGGGCAACAGGCCCTCTCTGATGAATGTTGGAGAGTCCTAAGCCGGTACTATCTTTTTTGAGAGCAATTTATCATTAAGTATCAATCTAAGCACATCTCTGTCGACTCAGCAATTACACCACAAAGACTTTATCCACGGTATACTAGTAAAAGTAAGAATGTGTAAGGAGCACTTCTTACATGTCAAGCACTTTTCTCAATGCTGTTAAATACGTTGTGCACAAAGTCCCTATTCTCATTTGTAAAGTTAAAGTCAAAAGAGAAAAACAGAAAAACTCTGGAAATAATCCGTGTTCATTGATATGACCCGGTTAGAAAAATTATAACACAGCCATATGATATTACCCAATTTTCACAATAATTTGCGAAGTTTGTATGTGCTGATATGGAAAGATCTTCAAAGATTTACACATGATCCCTTTGGTGCAACCGTAAAACAAGTTACTTCGTACTGATACCACGATTTTCTGAAGTTTAAAAAAAACTGTATAACTCTTTCAAATTCAACTCCAAAATCTCTGTTTCTAACAATCACATCAAACATCCACCAGCGAATCTGCCCTTCTGCCCTCTCCAGAAAGGATGTCCAGCCCAGCAGCAGCTCCCTAACCCACAGAGCCCAAACCTCATGCTTACATAAGCCCTCAGCACCCGGGCGGGAGTGAGCGGCCTCACTGAGAGTCCTGGCTCCTGCCGCAGATCCTAACCACCTAGATAGAGGGAGGAGTGAGGTCAGGCTTTCGGCCTCGCAGTAATTAAAAGGGTGGCTAGGGACTTCCCTGGCGGTCCGGTGGTTAAGATTCTGAGCTCCCAACGCAGGGAACGTGGGTTCGATCCCTGGTCCGGGAACTAAGATCCCACATGCTGCGGGCGCATGCCAAATATAAAATAAAACAATAAAAGCAAACAAGTAAAAGGGGGGCCAGCCCTTCTAAGAAAAAAGCGGGGTGAGGTATAAGGGAGTGTATAATAAAGGAGTGTGTCACAAAACCCGAGGGCAGAGATAAGAACCCGAGACATAGAAAGAACCCGGGAAGTATCCGCCTCCTTCCTCGTAGGGTGGCTTCCTCCCCAAGGCTTCCAGCGGGAGACAGAAGAGAAGCCAGGCAGGGGGCCGCCTCTCGCAGCCAACTGCCGACACCCAGGCCGGGAAAGCCAGCTCATCTCACTCCTCTAGGAGGGCGGCCGGGCGCGCTACCTCTCGGAGAAGCTCTTCACCAGCAGCCACACAATGAGCGGTAGGTTCTCGCGCTCGTTGTAGGTGGGCAAAAGCACCGAATACTTGTCTTGTCGCGGGGTGCGCGGCTCTGACTCCCGCGGAGACCTAGTAGACGGTCCACTCGCTTCCCCGGAGGCCATGGCAGAGCTGCACCAGGCGCCGGAAGCGGAATGACGTCAACGCGGCGCGGGAAGAGGACGCGTCGGAACGTACCAAAGCCGGGAGGAGGGGGATGGTCCGGGTGGCGAGTTCTAGTCCTCCTAAGGCTCTCTGCGTAGTTCCATTGGAAACAGTCAGGACTTGTGACTCTTTCAAGTTGAATCTGACGGTTGCTTCAGAAAAATACATATCTGTTAATCACCTTTCCCCAAGCTCCATAGAGTTGTTTAGTTTATTCCAGTCTCAAGAAGAGGGAAAGCCGGAAACGGAAATGCCTTTGACAACCTCCCAAAGAGGCTGCCATGGCGGCCAGGGAGGAGGTGCTCACTTTGCAGGCTGAAGTCGCCCAGCGTGAGGAGGAGCTGAGTTCCCTGAAGCGGAGGCTGGCGGCGGCTCTTCTGGCCGAGCAGGAGTCAGAGCGGTTGGTTCCGGTGTCTCCCCTGCCGCCGAAGGCCGCCCTGTCCCGAGATGAGATTCTGCGCTACAGCCGGCAGCTCGTGCTGCCTGAGCTGGGCGTGCAGGGACAGCTGCGCCTGGCGACCGCGTCCGTGCTGGTCGTGGGCTGCGGGGGGCTCGGCTGCCCACTGGCGCAGTACCTGGCAGCGGCCGGCGTCGGCCGCCTGGGCCTTGTGGACTACGACGTAGTAGAAGTGAGCAACCTGGCCCGTCAGGTGCTGCACGGCGAGGCACTGGCCGGCCAGGCCAAGGTCTTTTCGGCTGCCGCTACACTGCGCCGTCTCAATTCGGCGGTGGAGTGCGTGCCCTACGCCCAGGCGCTTACGCCAGCCACGGCGCTAGACCTGGTTGGCCGCTATGACGTGGTGGCTGATTGCTCCGACAACGTGCCCACTCGCTACCTGGTTAACGACGCCTGTGTGCTAACCGGCCGGCCCCTCGTGTCGGCCAGCGCCCTGCGCTTCGAGGGCCAACTCACAGTCTACCACTACGGCGGTGGGCCTTGCTATCGCTGCGTGTTTCCGCAACCACCTCCGGCGGAGACGGTGACCAGCTGCGCGGATGGCGGGGTGCTTGGTGTGGTTACCGGGGTCCTGGGCTGCCTGCAGGCGCTGGAAGTGTTGAAGATCGCTGCAGGTCTGGGCCCCTCTTACAGTGGCAGCCTGTTGCTCTTTGATGCCCTCGGAGGTCATTTCCGCTGTATTCGGCTGCGGAGGCGCAGGCCCGACTGTGCAGCTTGCGGGGAGCGGCCCACTGTGACTGATCTGCAGGACTACGAAAGCTTCTGTGGCTCCTCGGCCACCGATAAGTGCCGCTCCCTACAGTTACTGAGCCCAGAGGAGCGAATTTCTGTCGTCGACTATAAGCGACTTCTGGATTCCGGGTCACCCCACGTGTTGCTGGACGTCAGGCCTCCAGTGGAGGTGGACCTGTGTCGGTTGCCTCACTCCCTACACATCCCTTTGAAACTTTTGGAACGGAGGAATGCGGAGAGCCTGAAACTCTTGGGAGAAGCAATCCGGGAAGGGAAGCAGGGCACACAGGAAGGGGTATCTCTCCCCATTTATGTGATCTGCAAACTGGGCAATGACTCCCAGAAAGCCGTGAAGATCCTGCAGTCCTGGACAGACTTAGACTCTTTAACAGTTCGGGATGTTGTGGGAGGCCTCATGGCCTGGGCTGCCAAAATCGATGGAACGTTTCCGCAATACTGAGATGGCCGGTAGAGTCTGACCAGCGAAAGATGTGTGTTGTCATGTTACCTAAAGTTTTTTTGCCTTTATGAATGTATTTGCATTTTTTTCAGTAATGTACGGAACAGCCTGGGATTCTCCAATATCTGCGGATAGGTGGACTTCTTTTTATAAGGAGCTTTTTAATTGTAACTTACTGGGTGATGTAGCAATTAAGGGGTTATAACACTGTTCCTCTGAACTGTCTTGTGTTTGCAGCACTTGGATGGTGTGTTGAACAGGTGGGATAGAATGTAAATGACAGGACTTTGTGTTTTGAACTGCAGGTCATTTGCGTGTCCTGCCTTTTTTTTTTTAAATCTCCCAATTAAAAAGCTCTTTAAAGTTGTCCATTTTATTGCTTGGAAAGGTGTAATATAGTTACTGAATTGATCATGGATGATATAGTTAAGATAAGTTTATTGTTTACTAAGACATTCTTTGCGTGTTATTTCTAATTCAAATGATGGAACATGCCCTAGAGAATTCAGTGTTTAAAATGTAAATTGTTAAAACATTAAAATGAAACTTAGCTGGGAAGTGGTCATTCGATTAAATATTTTCAGTTAACAGCCAAGTAAGATATTTACAGTCTAGCAAGATAGAAACCACCTTTGCAGCATGTCAGTTTCTTTTATAAATTGCTGTTGTTTTCTTAGACTTAACTTCAGGGTCCACCTTATGTGGACACATACAGAAATTTCTAAACTGTGTGGTTTGGCTTGCTTTGGAATCTTCAAGTCCCAAGTCCCAGCCTTCTGCCCTCCCCTGTCCTTTTGTCCCTGTCCAACCTGTTATTTTTATTTTTGTCTTTACTGTATGGCCAGAATGCCAAATACAATATTGAATTAAAGTGAAATAATGAACATTCTTCTCTCCTTTGCAGTTTCAGGTGAAGAACTTTGAATATTTAACCAATATTACTTGTTACTGCTTTACTGTAGATAAATACCTCCTATCAGATTAAATAAAATTCTGTATAGTTCTGCATTTTTATGTGCTTTTTTTCTTCTGTTAATGTTGTGAATTACATTTTTTTTTATTGTGGCAAAAATACCCCCCACATAACATAAAATTCACCCTCCTGACAGTCGCCACATGTACAATACAATATTGTCAACTCTGTGCACATGCTGGGCACCAGATTCCAGAAGCCTCCATCCTGCATGACTGAGACTTTATACCCACTGAACAGCTCCCCGCCTCTCCCCTTTAATTTACCTTTTCTATTTTGATTTAATCTATTCCAGTGTTTTATAGCAGTATAAAATGTTGGTGTTTTTATGTTTGTGTACTTATTAAATAGCTTTTTCATGAAATGGCAGGTAGTATGCCCAACTTCCAACGTATTATGCAACAAAATTAAAAGCAAAAATTTGGTATGTGAGTATATAGTAGAGGCAAATTGAACAATCCATGATATATCAAAAGGGGGCCTCTATTCTCTAGCTGATTGTTGTGTGGCAGGCTATAATCATCAGAAATCACAGATGTAAATGTAAAATGTTTGTATCGCTGAGTACAATTTTTTTTTTTTTTTTTTTTTTTTTTTTTTTTGCGGTACACAGGCCTCTCACTGTTGTGGCCTCTCCTGTTGCGGAGCACAGGCTCCGGACGCGCAGGCTCAGCAGCCATGGCTCATGGGCCCAGCCATTCCGCGACATGCGGGATCTTCCCAGACCAGGGCACAAACCCACGTCCCCTGCATTGGCAGGTGGACTCTCAACCACTGCGCCACTGGGGAAGCCCTCTGAGTACAATTTTTAAAGATTAAAAGCGTTGTGGGCCAGACAAAACCCTCTGCAGGTCAGAATTTCTCACCAGTTTGCAGCCTCTGACACAGACTCTTGTTTTATGATAAAAGGATGGTATTGTTTAATAATCAAATTCAAAATGAGACATCACTTTTTGAGTGTGAGACATATTATAGCTCATTTTGGAATAGGCATGCTTAAAGTATGATAGGCCTTTGTTATAAAGACAAAGCAGGTTTCTTATGACTGTTTCTCCCAAGGAGAGGTGGAAATAACTGACAGACCTGGAGAGGAGAACAAAGATGGCTGGCCTCTGTCACACTTCTTACTCCTGGGAAGTGAGCTAATTCTGATATATATCAGGAAACAATCAGGTGGACAGAGGAGGAACTAGTTCATTCTGTAAAGACAGATGTCCTAAAGTTAGGCAGATTTGCTAGTTCCTGCAAACCTGGTTGTCAGTGGGACAGGCAACAGAAGTTGACCCTGACTGATTGAGAGAAGGGCTTATTAAAGTGATCTGAGGGCTTCCCTGGTGGCTCAGTGGTTAAGAATCCGCCTGCCAATGCAGGGGACATGGGTTTGAGCCCTGGCCCGGGAAGATCCCACATGCTGCAGAGCAACTAAGCCCGTGTGCCACAACTACTGAGCCTGCGATCTAGAGCCCGCGAGCCACAACTACTGAGCCTGCGTGCCACAACTACTGAAGCCCGCGCGCCTAGAGCCCATGCTCTGCAACAAGAGAAGCCCGTGCGCCAAACGAAGAGTAGCCTCCGCTCACTGCAACTAGAGAAAGCCCATGCACAGCAACGAAGACCCAACATAGCCCAAAATAAATAAAATGTAAAAAAATTTTTTAAAAAAAGCTTTAAAGTGATCTGAGGTGCTTTTGAGAATTTGGGGGAAGACTCGAAACTGTACTTCCAGGAACGATGCCCAAGACCATGCACAGAACTGACCTGAGAACTCTGTCTGTGCTGTGCCGTTCCATCTAGTACTAGAGGAAGCCGGCAGCACAGCCTCGCCAAACACTTGACTTGGCTCCATGCTCTTCCAGAAAGCGCAACACCTCAGCCACAGCCTAGGGGCCAGAGAGCAGAGTTTCTTTCCACCACTCTTTACTGAGTCAGTCTTATGAGGGTGTGTCTGGTAAGTAGAGCCTGGTCACATGCCTTCATCCTAGCTGCAAGAGCCGCTGGGAATTTGAGTTCCGACATCTACAGTAGGGAGGCTGAACTCATGACCTGGGATTTTTCTCAGATTAGGGAATGATTTTTCAGAAGATAGGCTGTTAAGAATATGACAAGTATCCATGACAGGACCCAGATCTTTTTATTCTTTGAAATTCTCTTTTCTCTTGTAGCTAGCGTTTTACAATCAGATGGGATTTGAACCAGATAACTTTTTTCCTTTTCATTGAACATCAAGTGTACCAGTTACCATTCTAAGCTCTGGGATAAAGAAAGATGAACAAGAGGGAATTCCCTGGTGGTCCAGTGGTTAGGACTCTGCGCTTCCCCTGCTGGGGGCCCGGGTTCAATCCCTGGTCAGGGAACTAACATCCCACAAGCTGCGAGGTGCAGCCAGAAAAAAAAAAAAAAAAAGAG